TGAAAGTCAGCCTTTAACACAATGGAAAATATTCTCAAAATCATACTAGTTCAGAAGATAAACATTTTAAAAATTTTATTTTCATTTTATTTGAAAGGCAGAAAGAGCAAGGGACAGACACAGAGAGATCTCTAATCTACAGGTTCATTCCTCAAATGCCCATAAACCCCAGGGTGGGACCAGGTCAAAGCCAGGAGTTGGGAACTCAACCCAGGTCTCTATGGGTAGCAGGAATTCAAGTACTTGAGCTGTTATCTACTGCCTGCAAGGGTATGTATTAGCGGGAGGCTGGAATTAGAAGCAGAGTCAGGACTCAAACCCAGGTACTCCAACATGAGAAACCGGTGTCCCAAGGGGCATCTCAACTTCCGTGCTGAAGGACTGCATCCTATTATTCCTTAAGTATGTTTGAATTTATAAATTTTTTTCAGCCAGATTTTAGGAATCATTTCACAATGTATATTGAAACAGCACATTGTATACTGCAAATATATCCTGCTTTGTCAATTAGACCTCAGTAAAGCTAGGGAAAACAGAAATAAAATTTAAAAAAAAATAAATGTAACTTTTTTAGTCTCATTGCTCCCTTTCCCTCTCTTCTCGTAATTTAGGCAGATGTAGCTGTATTGTATACACCTATTATTTCACATGTATGTTGTGTCTGAGTCTCTTCCCCAGTGAACAACCTGGTTGTAGTGAACCTTTCTGAGCTAAAGCTTGCTCAGTGTACCTTATCCAGAGCTGTTGGTGTACTGAAAAGCTGAGTGGTGGTCGTGTCAAACAGGGACCTCAATAAGCCAGAAAATGGGGCTGGCGTGCAGCACAGCAGGTCAAGCTGCTGCTTGAGACGCCAGCATCCCATACCAGAGTTCCTGGTTCAACTCCCAGTTACTTCACTTTGGATCCAGCTTCCTGGTAATGTACACCCTTGGAGGCAGCAAGCGATGGCTCAAATGCTTGGGTCCCTGCCACCTATGTGGGAGAACAGGATTGAGTTTCTGGCTCCTGGCTTCAGCCTGGTCCAGCTCAGCTGCTGTGAGCACTTAAGGAGTGAATCAGTGGATGGGAGTTCTCTTTCTCTCTCTCTTACAAATAAAATGAAAATAAAGAAGTAAAAAAATTAATAATAATAAGAAGAAAGACAAAGTAGATCCAATGGGTTGTCAGAGAAGAGGACTTGAAGGATGGGCCAACAGGAAAATCTGGATATGGTGGCAACTGGGGGTTGCTACCCATCTCAGCCTTTTTGTACTCCCTGCTGTGTGACGCTTAGCTCGATAGGCACTTTAAGTGGCTGGGGTCAGTGGCCATTCTGCAGCGTGCCATCTTCTCTTGTTGTCTGGCTAACTTTTGCATATTCCTCAGGGATCAGTTTCAACCTCATTCCTGAATCTTCTTCCAGTCTACGTTCCTGCTCCTCCTCAGTGCTTCTCACACTGTTTTGTGAAACTGCAAACTCCTCAAGGACAGGAACCATGATTTTCTTTTCTGCGTTCTGTACCACCAGAATCTAGTAATCATCACCTCTAAACATATTACAGGGAGGCAGATTTGCACTTAGCGTAAAAGAAATTATATATTATAACATGTATTATACTGTAATACAGTGAGGCCAACATTTGGTTTAGTGATTGAGAAGCATTAAGATGCCCACATCCCTGGGCTTGAGTCCTGGCACAGCTTCTGATTCCAGCATTTTGCTAATGTGGAGGCAGTGGTGATGATGGTTCAAGTAGTTGGGTGCCGGCCACCCACACAAGAGACGTGGACTGAGTTCCTGGTTCAGGTCTGGCCCTACATTTTTGGTTGTTGCAGTTATCTGGGGAGTCACCAGAAGATAAAAGCTTTTCTTCTCCTCTGAGTAATAAAGAAATAAATTATATGTATGTAATATATATGTGTATATGTGTGTGTGTATATATATATAAATGTATAGACCAGAGGGTAAGAGTCTGGCTTCATTTCAAATTGGAGCTTTCTGTGTTATCTTGAATAGTGTAGTCTACCTGTGCTTCATAAAATGGAGATATTATCTATGCCATTAGGTTTTTTTATGAATTAAATGAGACAATGCGTGGAAAGTACTTGGCTTAGTTCCTGGCACTTGGTTAGCACTTGGTTAGCACTTGGTAATGTCAGATTTTTTTTTTTATTAGTTTTTATGATCATTCACAAGAGCACTATCTCACAATGAAGTGGGATTGCTCTGAGAAGCAGAGAGTGCCCTTGTCCTGAAGGTATTCAAGGGGCAATAAATCCAGGAGAGGTATCATAGAAGTGATTTCTGAACTGAGAAGATAAGATGACTTCTAAGGATGTTTCTAATCATAGAGGAGTGGAGTTCTTTCTGATTCAGTGAAAGTATGATCGCTAGTGTTACTTCTAAAAAAGGTGAGGAATGTCAGAACAGAAAAAGAGAGCGTACATTTGGTCATAAGTATATTCCAAAAAAGAAAAATATTTTATTCTTTGTGAGCAGTTAAATACAAAAGCCCTTTTTATTTAAGTTGTAACTCACACTGCAAATCAGGCCCTCACAGGAAAATCCACCTCTTTTCAAAAAGACCAACTTGGCTCTGCCAAAATGGAACAAACAAAACTTTTAAAGAGTGTTCCAACTCTACTGAAATGTCTTTTTCCTTTGAAAGAAGTCTATTAGTGATGCAAATGCAAAGTTATCTGCACAGATGATAATCCCAGCAAACAAAACAGTGAAACCATTAGAACTTTCTTGTACAGCATTTAGTCCAGAGAATTTGCCTTTCAGGCACTAAAAAGGCAGAGAAAGAGAGCAGAGCTGATTCCTATTTGGGAAAGTTTGTTAGGTCTGCTTGTCTGAATTCTGGGCTAATGATCTTCACATTTGGCCTAAACAGGGCAAACATTCTGCAAATGTTGGACCAGCTAAAGGAAGAAGTCTTCCTCCTATCCCAAGTACTTTAAACCAGCAAAAGCAGTTTCCTTAACCACGGAGTAACCTTTATTGCCAACAGTGTAATAATTCTCAAGATACCAGAGCCTTGGAGCCCCAGGTGGCACAGCAGGTTAAGCCGCAGCTGGAGTCCTGACTACTCCACTTCCCACCCTGCTTCCTGTTAATACACCTGGGAAAATGGCCCAAGTGCTTGGGCCCCAGCCACCCATGTGAGAAACTATGATGGAGTTAGTGGTTCCTGGCTTCTCCCTGGCCCAGACCTAGCTGTTGCAGGCCACCCGGGCAGTGAACCAGCAGATGAAAGATTCTCTGTCTCTCCCTCTCCTTCAGACTGATTTTCAAATAAATAAATCTTAAAAGCCAGAACAAAATACTAGAGCCTTAAAATAGATCCATCTAGAAGAAACCCAATGATCCACACTCCAGGGCCAGTAATTTAAGTGACCCTCTCATATTACTGATGCTTTCAAATTATTAAAAACTGGAGAGTTGAAAGGTGACTTGTATATGCTAAGAGATGACTGTGTGCCGACACCTTTCAGTCACAACATACTCTGGGCAAACAATTTCTTAGAAAACTTAGCATTTCTGAAGTAAAAGCCAAGGACGTGGCCATTCTCCCAACTGATGAACGTTTTTGGAACTACCCAGTGGGCAGCGTATTGAGAAAAGTAACCCTCTGCTTCCCACAGGCTTCCCTGTACAAGTATTACCAGTCGGTGCCGGTGTCCCTGAAGTTTGGACGTCACGCTCCCGGTCGCCGTCTTCGGCAGGGTGGAGTTTTGGCTAGGGAAGGTCGCAGCTGAAGCATTTCTAGGGTGTCACGTGTTTGCCCTTCAGGTGCGGGAGTGGATGTGGTAGTCCACGCTGCAGCCTGCACCGCGTTGGCTGGGCCGCCTGACAGCTCGCACGGTCCCCGCCCTCCGGTGAGGGAGGTCAGTCACCGCCTCGTTCCGCGCGCGGCCGGCCTCCCACGCCGTCCACCCAGGGTTACCCCCCAGGGCCGGGTGTCGGGAACCGGAGCAGGCACAGCCCACCGTCCTGCGTGTGTGTGTTTGGGGGTGGGGGACAGGGCTCCCCAACCGTAACCCCAGAAAGGCCGTGCCACTATGTGTAGGTGCTCAAAAAACACAAAAGTTTGGACTTGGCTGTCTTCCCAATTAAAACCACACCACCTGCTTAGGACCGGGACCAGATACTACAACCTCCCAACTTTGTTGTTGCGGGGGCCGGGGAACTCAGGAGCCTGAAGGGGCCGCGCCACTGGCCGCCTGTCCCCCACCAACCGCGTAGCCAGGCCGGCCCAGCGCCGGGCTCGGGAGCGCGCGCGGAGACGGGCGCGCGCCGGAGCCTGGGAACGCTCCCACCGGGATCGCGGCTGCGCAGTCGGGCCCGGGCCGGGAAAAGGAGGAGGAGTAGAGGAGCAGGAGTAAGGGGAGGGGGAGGAGCGGCGAAAGCGGAAGCCATGTTGGAGTTTCACCCCGAGCGAGGGGCTGCGAGCGTTCTCCTCTCCTTGTGGGTGTGACCCGGGCTCGGCCGGCGGCAGGCTGCGAGGGGCGGGGACGGTTAGGCCGGTCGTCGTGGTCCGCGGCGGCGTGAGGGGAGCGGCGGCCGCAGCGTGGAGCCGGGCGATTGTGACCGGCGGGGGAGCAAGGGGGCCGGTCGCGGCGCCCACTCTCCGTGTGGCCCCCTGAGCGCCCCCCCTCCCCTGGCCGGGAGGGAGGCGGGGGGCACCTGGGGCCCGCCATGAACCCCGGCTTCGATCTGTCCCGCCGGAACCCGCAAGAGGATTTCGAGCTGATTCAGCGCATCGGCAGCGGCACCTACGGTGACGTCTACAAGGTGAGAGCCGGGGCCGCGCGCCGCCGAGGCCGCGGGTCGCGACCCGCCGCGGGGAGGGCCGGGGCGCCGCGGAGTCGCGACGCCCGGGGCCGCGCCGCCGGTCCTCGGGAGACGTCGGCGCCCGGGAGCAGTGGGGGAGGAGGAGGACAGGGCGCTGAGGGCCGGATGCCTGGGCTTGAACAAAGAGGGCAGCCGCTTCACCCCGAGACCTCGCAGTCCTTACCTGAGCCCTCCCTTAGCCGCGATTTTTGACACCTCCGCTCCAGCCCGCCTTTGCGGGGCCGGGGTTGCACGGGAGCGGGCCGGCGCTCCTCCTGGTGCACAGAGGGGCTGGGCGATTGTTGCATGGCCAGGGTCAGTGCGACGGACAGGACAGCAGGGGCTTGGCATTGGTGAAGCTGCGTGACAACCGCACCCGGGGTCTTCCGCTCCATGTGGGGAGCTGCTGCCCACCAGGCCTGCTGCTCATTATTGCGTCGGACAACCTCCATCCACAACCTTTAGCCTTTTTTTTTTTTTTTTTTTTTTTAGCATCAGCCTGTCACTTTCTTTTAATTTTCCAAGTAATGAATGTCTTTTGTAAAAGGCATGTAGTTAGCGTGTGGGTGTTTTTTTTTGGGGGGGGGGTTGAATGCTACTTTGTTTTCTGCAAGTCGAATTTTGAGATCCCACATTAAACTTGCTTTTGTCAGTCATACACAAGAATCAGCTGTTTTGTTTTTGTTTTTTAAGTGAACTGAATACTTAAAGAAATGTACTGGTTGGGACAAGGTTAGAATTCAAAGTCCATTAGCAGTGCAGCATTCCTGTCGTAGAGGGACCACTTCTAAATGTGGGAAGATAAATCAGTCTTCCCTGGCCAGCTCAACTCTTGGCCTCGCACAGACTGCCAAGAGAGGAGAATCTTGCCAAATGTGGCAGCAGTCTTGATTTAGTTGTGTATCTTCTTACTGGTAACTGAAGTTGAACTCCTCCTGTTTCACCAACACCTGAGGATGCACAAAGAAAATTCTACATTGGAAAGTTTAGTCTTAACTTTGCTTTGCCGTGTTTAAGCAATAGGTTTTCACTCTGTCTTCACCATATGTAATGCATATAGTGACTTAGATATGTAGGATAATGCAGCCAGTGTTCTGCATTAATCTTGTGCTCTTGATGTTTTGCTTTTCTCAGTCGTGTATCTCAGTACAAATAGATTGAGTACACGTAAAGTATGTAAAGTACTCTGTACATGGTTGTAGCAGTAAGATGTGGTTTCAGATCTGACTTGAAGTTTACATATATTTTTTGGACAAGAGCAGCATTTAACACTATAGATTATTATTAAATTTTATTAAAATGCGGTTTTATGCAGCAAAGAAGAGGATTAGGGCTATGAGAGCATGTCACTTGGAAGGCCTGATCATCTGTGGGAAGTCAGAGGTTCTATCACCCCTCAGCTGAGGTCTGAAAGTTGGGGCAGGGTCAAGAGGGGAGAATGCTAGATAGAGAAAGCCTGTGTGTAGTGGCCCTTAAAGGAGTGGGCAGAGACTTGAAAGAATGCTTTAATGGCTTGAGGAGCCAGAGGGAGGGTGTTCCAGATCTTGCAGGGCTCTTAGTTCTTATAAGGAGATAGAACTATCTTCTTCTAAGTGGTGAGCCATTGCAGGGTTTTGTTTTGGTTTTTAAACAGGGGAGTGGAATTAGATTTGGATTTAATTACATTTTTTTGTAAAGCTTAATAGAGAAAGCAATAGAAAAATATGAAAAAGCTCCCATCATTGATTCACTCCCTAAATCTGCCCAATAGCCAAAGCTGAGACCTGAGGACTCAGTTCAGGTCTCGCACATGAGTGGCCAGAACCCAGTTACTTGGGGAACTCACCATTGCCTGCCTCCAACAGCCTGCGCCAGCAGGAAGCTGGAGTCGGGGGGCAGAGCCAGATCCAAGAACTGATGTAGAAGACAGGAGTCTGTATTGCTGAGCTAAAGGCCTGCCTCTAGATCTGGATTTTTAAAGATCTTTCTACTGCAGTGTGAAGAGTAGGTTGGAGGGGAAGAATAGTAGGTGACCATTGTAATAGCTCAGGAAAAAAATAATGTTTTGGTGATTGTGAAAATAGAAGTTGATGGTCCAAGTACTAGTGGATGGTTGGGGAAGTCCAATTATATTTAGAAGAAAAGTTAACTAAAACTTTATGAATGTATAAATCTTAGGTGGCAGTATGTATGATAATTTTTTTAGAGTTCTTTACAGGAGTTATTGGCTGTATATTTAGTGTATTTTAAAAAATGGCTAGTAGTTAGTAAAGTTTAGGGCATGCAGTGTCATAAGGACATTTAAGTGCAATCGAAGTACAGTAAGTTGATTAATCTTGTCATCACTTTAAAATAATAATACTATCTAACATTATGTGGTGTGCCTAATACTAACCCAGCACTGTTTCTACTTAAGCCTGAAAGTCCTATGATATTGTGCTGTTATTAATTCCATTTTTCAGCTGAAGAAGTTGAGGCATGTGGAAATTAAAGTAACCTGTCAAAGTTGGTAGGCGGCAAAGCCGAAATTGTAACTAGTTAGACTCCATTCTTAACCACTCGGCAGCTCTGTCTACAAAGACAGGATTGGCAGATTTTGTAGTACTACATTTCCAGTGGAGAAATTGAGGAACGCATTTAGTTCAGCATTTGAGTTGTGGCCACATTTGGAGTGAGTGTGGATCTTTAAGTAGTAGTTGGACTATCCAGTCCCTCGGTTGCAGCTGGGCCTCACTGCTTTTGTTGTCTGCCAAGCAGACATCATACAAGAGGTGCTTGACACCAGCCTGCCAGACCTGATAGCAGAGACCCAAAGCAGAGAAACCCCCTGTGGTTGATGGCATCATACCCCTGCCTGCTAAGTAACCCAAAGCTTAAACTTGTATTTTTTTGTATTATTGTATTTTTTTGTCCATAATCAAATTCAAGCTATAAAGATACATATTTTTCATATTTGTTTTGCTGCTTTAGATTTTTATTTATATAAATTGTGTTCATTAGAGAGGAGTGCATTTTGTTTTCAAAAGCTAATACATATAATTTGCTCCTTAATTTGTCAGTGCTTAGGTGCTAAAAATGGAATGATTGGATTAAGTAAATGAGTTAGAGGCCTAATTATTTATAGTCATTCTTGAAAGGTTGGTGTTTGAAGTGATTTTATTTTGAAAACTGTATCTTATGCAATGTATGAGCATATTAATTGTATTTGAGTGGCATAGTTTAAAAAGGTTGAAGGAGGATGTGGGTGATCTGGGATTGGTTAGCTACGCAACTTTATGAAAACACTTAGCCTCTTGGAGCTGTTTGTTTTGAAGCTATTATTTCCATCATGTGCCTTTCTGTTTTAAATAAATGACAAGTGTTTTTCCCCACACATAAGTTACCTTTATTATTTTCAGGCCATTGCCAATGTACCCTTTATCTGCATTGTGTCTGCTGGAAGACACAAGGGATTTTTGTTTTTGTTTTTTGTTTGTTTTTAAACTCACACCTCACTTTTAAGTTCCCCTAGCTGTGCAGGCTTTATCTGTCACAAATAGCTACAGCTGGGGTTACCTGGGGACCTACAGGTTGACAACCAGGACTCTGTAGTTGGGCCCAGGAGGCCCATGGACTCCCCTGAAATTAAAAGGCTTGGTGTTTCATGTATTCATGTTCTGGAGACATAGCTTATACCATTCATTGTTTTCTCAAAGAGGTCCATGATCCAAAAAAAGAAAACAACAAATGATCTGGGGGTTGTCATTTGAAAGTTTTCTTGGAGAAATTAGGTAGTGCTATACTAGATGTCATTATCAGCATTTAATAGGATTTTCACATGTGTGGTGCCATTTTTTCTCGGGTTGTTTTCCAGTTTATTATTCCTACCCTTAAAGTCTATGTTTTGATGTTTTTCTAGGTTTATTGCTAGAAAGAAGCAGGAGATGGTAAAGCTGGAGTTAGGGTAAGGCATAGGAGGTTTTGAAGGAAGAGTCTGAATGTGTCCCTAAAGGAAGTGTCTTAACCTCCTCCTTATCTGGAGGTTGTTCCCTGTGTGGTCTCCAAGCTCTGTCTCAAGCCTTGTGCTTTCTTTTGAGCTTTAGGCCACTGCCTGAAGTTGACCTCTCTCCAGACTATATCTCCCTCCAAATGTATGCCTTTCCTCATATCCAGCTTGTGTCAAAAGCCCCAGTGTTGACAATTAGCAAAGGCTTGATGCCTTGGAGTCATCTTTTACTGCTGGACTGGACTTTGTTGGCACTTGCTACATTCTGCACACAGGCATTTTCAAAAGCATGGTTGGGATGTTTGTGGAAAAGCAGTATCATGAGTATTTTAGAGACTGAGAAGTCTTGACGCAAAGAAACCTGTTAAATATTGCTTCACCCAAGCAGACTGCAAACTTAATTGATGAGATTCTTCTCTGTAATATCTATCACTTGTCTGTGGTACTGGTTTCTTGTAGCACATGCTTGGAAGTGTTTATATTGATGACTTATCTGTATGTGTTTGCAAACCATTCTCTATGAAGGAGGGTCTGTAGTATTGCCAAACTCCAAAGTATCATTCACATGGTAGACTTCATAAATAGATTTGGATTTCCTATGAAAGCTGACAAGAGAAACATTGAGGATTGGACAGTGAAATAAAGAAATTAACTTGGAAAGAATTGTGTGTTGGCTTATTTGTAACTTTGCATCTATCAGTATATTCTGATTAATATTATCAAAGACTTCCATAATAGCATTTTAAATAAACTTTCTGGAAGACTTAGTTCTTAAACCTCACTGCTGATAAGGAACATGAAGATCTTAAGCATTTAGGAAAGAAAGCTGTGGTTATGCTCAGAGGAGGATAAAGTCTAGAGAGACCAGAAGAAATGCCTCAAACTTCACAAAGATTATTTGAAGTTGATTAAAATAGATTTTCCTATCAGTAGCTTGTATTTGAGATGGAAAGTAATAGTGGGACAGATCGCATGGTAATTTCTTAAGAAACAAAAACAAGCAAACAAAAAGGCTATATGACTTTAATACAAATGTTTCCCTAAGGAAGATATTTAGCTACATGTTTTGATCTTTTTGAGTACTTATTTGTGAAAACATATCTAATGTACTATTCTACATTGAGAATGAACAGTGAGTTCTCTCATAAATGTCATACATTTAACTGCTGTAATATGAAAGGAAATGTGGTAGGGACTTTGAGTAGAGTAGCAAAAATAACAAGGCTCAGTATTTGGTATTTACAGGAACAGAAAAGGTGTACCTGCTTCTGTCTGTCATAGTTGGATATCAAAACCTTATTGGATTCCTCATTTCTGTCATATTAAATCTCTTACTAGCTGAGAGGTTCTCTGGATGCTTTGTAATCTCTGCCACCAGCCCCTCTGTAGCATGGTATGGTGATTTAGGAGCAGGATGCAGAAGCCAGACTACCTAATTTCACCACCCACTAG